TTCAGTTGATGGGCATTATGTGTGTGCTGTTGACATGCTGGTCACCTCTACTGGTATGTATCATATCAGCTTTTGCCAGATGCACTTACTGTAGTTATCAGATGAAAGCATGCATGCTGCCATTCCTGCTCAAACCTAAGTGTGCCCAGCTACAAAATGCTGCTATATATATTGGATTAAATCGAATATATGAATTCAATGTAAAGGTGAACTCAACAGGCCAAGTGTTTTACTGGTACCGTACATGTTGGAGGGTTACTACTTGTTACGTTTTCATGTTTTTGAGCAGTTATTTGAGATTATTGTTTACGCTGGGTTTTTTTCCCTAGACTCTATCCAAAAAAAGGCTCTTTTGTCAGTCTTGAGTCTTGTCATTTCTTCCCAGTTATGTCATTTCAAAATATAGGCCCACATGGAATATGTAAATTCATATTTTCTGACTGTGAAAAAAAATAAACAGAAAAAAAAAAAACTGTTGGAAATGTTATGGCTGGTAATGATAAATGGCAGATATTTAAAGTCTGTAAAATGTTGCATAAATAAATTAGGGAAAAAATAACACCCCAAAAAAGAGTAATCAGTCATTTTAAGCATTAACATTATCGTGTAGAGTATGAAAAATGGAACTTCATTTTGATCTCTTCTAAAGATCAAATGTAACAGTTATTAAATTGTGATTTTAAATATTAGGTTGTAAATGATGACAAAGGTAATCTAAATGTAAAAATAGGGGAAATACATAATGCACAATTACTTGTCCAATTTTAGTTAATTCATATCCAGTATAAACTGATCACAATATACTAAACATTATTTAAAAAAATATATATTTATAACAAAGCATTGCCTGGATCTGAGAGTACAGAGAGAGTACTGGTAGCTAGCTAAAAACATTCTGAAATTAGCCAGAATGTTTTAAAAAACAAACCTGAAAGGGTGTAAATTTTGCAAATAACTGCTGTTTATACAGAAATCTGCTGTTTATATTAAGAAATGATATATTAAGAAATATTAATATATCTTAATCTTGAAGAAAACAATATTCATATAATATAGCCATTGTGGTGTGTCTCCTCCCATTCTGCAGGTCCTTATGTTAAAGATGATCTCAACCCACACATCCTCGCATCAATGCAATTCTGCTGCTGTATCTCTCTCATCCCAGGACTTACAGATGGACTGTAACTTCTTTCTCACAGCCATACGCCTGGCCTCTCTCAATCAGATTCTGGATCCATGGGTTTACCTACTCCTGAGAGAGATTCTTCTGAGGAAGTTCTGCCAGGTGGCCAGCGCAGTATCCAAGTGCTCACTGGATGTGCAGAAGGAAACTCAGTGTCCTGTAGACGCCCTAAATAAAAAGGCCATTCAGAATGATAATGTTCACAAACAGTCCCTTAACATGGAGAACAGTAACTTGAATGGGGGAAATGAGGAACAGTGACTTGATAGTGGTACAAAATTTTCCAAAATGAGGACAAAATGGCAGAGGGTATAGTCACCCACGGTCAGAATAATAATGAGCTGGACATTTTCCAGATGTATTTGTGGATTGTTGTATTGATGTAGGGTGATGTCAGCATGCTACCATGCAAACTCATAATCACTCTTGTGTTATTGTCAGTCAGAGATTTTGTTCATGGATTCTCAGCAACCTTTGAAATGCAACAAAATGGCAAGACCTTAAAATAATTACATATGCAGGGTTCCCCACTGTCATGGAATAATTTGAAAATATCACGCATTTTACAAATGTAAATGAATTGTTCAAAAGGTGTGGGAATCCTGCATATACAACAGCAATATTAGCAAATTAGATTTGGATAAACAAAAGCGAAATCATAAACTGAAATTTGCCAGCTCCCGTGGAGACTGATTATTTTAAACTACATTCAGTGTTGTTACTATATAGCAAATCCTTTTATTCACCTGCCAACTGCAAGAAAATAATGAAGGAATATTTCTTGATGCTAATTTATGATCTGTTATATAACATTTCAGAGCTGTTTATTGTGCAGTAAAGCACTGAATGGTCTCCAATACTTTTCTCTAAACTCCTCATCCTCATGGCTCATTTTTAAACCTCTCATAAACTCTAAACGTCTCTTTAGACTTATTGTGTGCATTTCTCAATGCCAAGCCTGCAGAGCTCTTTTTGATGCTGACAACTGTAACCGTGGGCACATTTAATTGAATTCCATGCTTGAGTTTTTCAGTTGGATTCCTGAGGGAAGTAAATATAGAAGTGCAAACTAATTTAATAGTTTAGTGAGATACTTTCTGGCCGTGGAACAGTCCTTTCAGAGTGTTCATTTTAATAGCCAATGTTTGACACACCGAGTGCCTCAAGGTGCTGCATCTTTTTATGTGCAAAATTCTTGATAATATCGATTGTCATAAACCAAAAGACTTTAAAATTCAAACGGAAGGCAATTTCAACAATGATGATTAGTCATTCATGGAAATTGCTTTTTTTATACCAGTTGTTGTCAAGGAGGCCATTAAAGCTTTGTTCTGTTCTTATGTTGCATCCTTTTAGTGGTAAATTACATAACATTTGAGGTAGTTTGACTTCAGGAATATTTAATGACCGGTATGACTGGCACAGCTGTTTTACATTATTCTTGGCTGATGCATGCAGTAATTTTTGTTTGTTGAATTTTCATTGAACATACATAAATTATTGGCAAGGATGATTGAAGTTGTTCTTCTAATTGGGCCCTTCAGTTGCACATCTGTAATTATGCATCTTACCATGTGACTGAACATCTTCTTAGCATATTATATGTTTGCACTGTGCAGTTGGTGATTGTTGGTGATTGTTGTGCAGTTGGAGGAGCAAATTGTATTTAAAGAATAATTACAATCAATAATTTCTTAAAGGAAAACACTGTCAAAAAGAATGCTTTATAAAGCACTGTCTGTTTCAAATTCTTTAAAACCAGCTTAAATCCCCATAACACAAGAAAAAATGTTTGCACCAATGATTTTACATCCTGCCGATGAAA